CCTGCAGTGGATAACTGTCTCATACCTGAAACGGATTGAACTCCACTGATTACGGCTTCTCACCAGAATTCCAGAAGTTACGTCCTGAATCTCGCCACTAATGAGCACATGATTAGTGTAAGTATAGGGAACTTGTGAAGATTGTAGAATTATCATTATTAAATGTGAATATAACAGTCATACAGTTCCAGATTTAGAACGATGGGTTTATGTATCCTTAATACTCTAGTGATATCATGTCTTTGTTTATGTGTAAAATAAAAACTGAGGCGATGTTGTTCGATTGTCTGATCATGTAACTATTAAGATTCAGGTCACGTATTCAAATCTTACTGTACTGAGTCAGGTCTGTTTCGCAGTTAACCTTTACTCTAAATAGAAAGCATAACACTTTGATCATTCTGTTGGAATTTTTTATTCATGTATTTTCACACTTCAAACAGTTGTTTTTCTATGGTTGGTAACATTTCTTCGTTGTATGACGTTTTCAAATCAAATTTGTGGATATAAGTTTTTTCTTGATAAACGTTGAAAGTAAATAGCTTTTTAGGGCGTTATCACCTATTGTTACTCTATATAACTCTGATTGACTGTAGAGTTGAGAAAATAAAAACAAAAGTCGTCTGTTCATTTTGAAGTTAATTGGCGTGCTTTGGAATCCACACCCACTATTATGTTATCCCTCCTAATTGAATGTGTTTTGTATGTATGTTTGTGATAGTATTTTCTAGTGGGATGGTTGCGATGTTTCAACTGAAATTGGGTAAATATAATCGGTGAACAGCTGACCTCTTACAGTGACCTTGAACTTGTCTATCTAGTTGTCCATCATATCACGTGCATTTCTGCCTGTCTCTTAACACAGCTTGACAGCTTAGTAGGCAGAATTTCATATGAACAATTGAGATTGGTTGCTCCAATTGAACCTTGTCCTTAAATGTTATAAGTTATGGGAAGAATGCGTAATCCAACTTATTCCCAAATGAAAAGCTAACATTTTTGTCCAATAGTAGCGAAACTATCTAAACTTCCAGTAAACATTTCTCTGGTTGGAAAAAATGTTAATTATTCAAGGAGAAACTTGACTGGTTCTTATGATTTATAATAATAATAATAATAATAATAATAATAATAATAATAATAATAATATGATAAGTCAGTAGCTTCTATTTCTGTTATTATACACGTAATTTGTCCTCAAGATCAGCCTTAACTCTGACCTTATCACAGAGGAATTGTTGATTGAGGTCATCATATTAGTAAAATAAATATTTTTGAGGTCACTACTGAAGTTCCTGTCTTTCATTGCCTTTCGGTTACTATAAAAATACATCTACACATAAATAATTACAGCATGTGACTTACTAATAATAAGTAAACTGAAAAAATCATTACTGTACTCGCTAATCTGATATTATAATTTATTTCCTACTTGTAATTATTATTGTTAGTATTAAACTTTCAAAGATAACACTTTTTTTCTAAACATTAAGTAAACTTAGACAGTGAATGATGAAACAAATAATGAGAGCATAAGTAAGCACTAACAAGTATCAGATAAACGAAATGGCCATTTCCTGTTCATGGCGTTCATTATTGAACATTGTGTAGGTTAACTGAAATGTTTTCTATGTTTGATAAGTGTGCTACATGCAGTAATTTTGATGGATTTCTCATTCATTTAGTGAGTAATCTCTACATGTTGGAGTATGAACGTCACCAAAGATTTCATTTGAAATTTCCGGAATTATCTTTAACCGTCTGTTATAAACATATCAATGTAGCACATCTCAATATGCTGGACGAAAAACACAAGTAACTTTAAAGCTAGATCATTAAATCAATCAGTTATTATTTACTGACAAAATGAATTAAAAAATTCGACTGAAAGTATTTGGCACAATATACTTCTTAATCATTAAAAACATTGAGAATAACCTTAAACAATGGACAATTTTGATATAAGGTAAATATTTGAAATGATTAGTTACATGAGTGCAATTTGAAAATTTTTATAATTATTAATATCATTTATTTTAGAGCATATCGAAGTGCACATTAACTAATAAAACTACAATGAAGTTGAACGAATATACTTACCGAATTGCTTACTTTTCGTGTATTTACTTATTTTGATAGATATAAGTGGTATGTAACACAAATCAGAGGTGGCATGCCTGGGAGCAGAAGATTAAGAACATGGAATTGAAGGGAATATGAATGAAAATAAAGAGTAATTGTAGTAATCATAGGAATGAAGGAACGATAAACTTTGTAAGAGACAATTGATGGAAGATGTGCAGATGAAGGATTTAAAGTATGGTTTTCAAAAATTTTTCGAAGACAATCAGTCATTTTGCATTCAACAATAAAACAGTTATCGCCACCAAATATTCGATTACAAAACAATTACTTACTTACTGATTTACGCCTGTCACTTCTCGTGGAGGAGAATAGGTCGCCCAATACAATTCTCTAACCAACCCTGTCCTGGGCAATCCTCCCTAGTTTTTCTCAAATGCCATTCATCCTTTTGACATATGCCTCCAGTTTCCGACGCAATGTGTTCATTAATCTGACTCTTTTACTTTCCCCTTCATGATTCTTAGTTAGCGCTTGCTTCGTGATGCAGTTTCATAGTTTCCGCAATGTATGCCCTATCCACTTTTATCGTCTTTTCCTAATTTTTTCCTCAGCTGGAAGTTGGTTAGTTCTCTGTCACAGTAGAATGTTGCTGATGGTGTCCAGTCAACGGACATTGAGTATCATGTGTAGGCAAGTGTTCATAAATACTCATACTTTTTTAATAATAGTTGTGGTCGTTTTCAAAGTTACAACTTCGTACAGTAGAATTGGTTTGACGTCCGTATTGAAGATTCTGACTTTGATGTTGATTGACAGTTGTTTTGAGTTTCATATGTTCTTCAAATGTAGGAATTCTGTCCAGATAGGTGAAAGTCTCCACCTCTTTCATATACATATTATTATAAGAGATTAGTGGAATTTGCAGAGTTTTCACAGTTTAAACTATGAACCGATGTTAGTTAGACCGCCAATAAAAACATGGAATCCCTTGACGACTAACTCGTCCTCGTCTATGACTCCTGAGGAACGCAGATTCATGACACAGCATCACTGAATCGAATTCAGGACACAAAGTTACATCCTGAAGTTATTAACTAGCGAGGACTGCTAAAAAATACCACTCTTTGACGAAACGGCCATTCAGTCGTTCAGTGTAGGGTGGAAATCTAAATGCTTCAGAATCATCAAGGCATCCTTCAAATCAAAGGAGAGGATCACAATGAGTGTTATTCAGTGCTATTCACTTACCAATTATATCAATGAAGATGATAAAGATCAGTTTTACGAGAAGCTACAAAGTGCTCAGGAAACAACCTGACCATCCTGATCGGAGACTGGAACGCCAAAGTCGGAGTGAACGACGCCGGACTGAATAGGTGAAGGGAACGAGAATGGTGAGTGATCTGCAAATTTATGTCTGTTCAACAAAATGTTAATAGATGGCTATATATTCCCCCCGCAAACGCATACATAAAGTTACACGGGTTTCATCGGATCACACTGCATGCAACCAGATAGACCATATTTGCATCACTAACAGATTCACAAGGTCAACGGAAATCCGTGGAAGACTTGGCAGAGACAGTGGAAAAAGCTGTAAGGGAAGAATATATGAGATGCCGATATGATACGACGAATCTTGTAGGGAATTAAGGTAAACTAGAGACAACAATCAAGAACAAAGAAGGTCAGCCAATCACTGAGATTGAAGAACAACGAACAGGTGTGTCATACACTTTTAGAAGCTCTCGAATATATATATACTTTTACCAAACATTTTGGTACTCGGCTTCAAATTGGTCTCAGGATGAAATCAAGCATTTTTTGACATGGTCATTTATGTAAAAATTGTGTTGTCAATACTTAATTAAAACGGGTTTACGGAATCCTGAGTATTTGATATAAATGAGTATTAATCTATGAAATCAAAACTAACTATGATATCCTCCAAATGGATCTAGAAGTTCTTGCGTAGATAGTTCTTTACAAATACCTTTTCTTTTTTGATGATGGTTGTGGTATATCTACAGCTGGAGTCTTTCCTGGGTTGCTGTCGTTGGATAAGGGAGGGGGTTTGGGACGAGGTTATCAACACCATCCCGTAGGAAATAACCTTGCTAAAAAAACTAACCAGAAAAATTCATTTAAACCATAATGAGGTGTTAATAAATTTCAGCGTGGAAATATAAACACATTCACTTGCCATCGATCCCTAAGTAGGCATGTTGCAAGGATTTAAACATCCATTCAAAAATCCTCACTTAGCTTATGAGTTTTTATTTAAATAGAATGACGACATTTCAGCTAAGAAAAATCTCTTTTCAACGATATAATTTTCTGAAGCTATACAATCGTCTTTATAAGTAATTTTTTACACGTAGCAGTTCAAGTAGTAGTTCTCATTTATTATTCTGGATGAATGTACGAGATTCGTTTAAAACAAACGTCTTAAAGCTAGCTAGTCGATTATTCAACGGAATTTCCACGTAAGGGTTATTTCCATTTTACAAACACTACAAAAGTATCGTTGAAAATCATCGCATGATGATTCACTTGGGTTTAATTTTCCTGACCTGTTTTAAATACCATGGTGTCCAAAAATAAATACCAGTGTTTGTCATCTGCTTCAGACACACATGTACAAAAACACGTGAAGAAAATATCAAGTGATCGAAGGGTTGCTTAAATGGTTGACCTGAAGAACAGATGAATTGAGGACAGTGTATGTACATAACAAAAGTGGTGGGAGTACAGATAGTCACTAGAATATCTAGAATAGATAGTCCAATGAGAGCCATTCTGCAAATTGATTGGTTCATTCTACAATTAGGCAGGGACAGGTCAAGGCAACATATAAATGAACCAATGAAATATTAAATAAGCATTCATTGCTATTTTATTGGCTATTGAATGTTGCTAATCTAAAGTTAACGGCGCTTAGGTGATAGTTCATACTGCGCCATCTCATACTAAGATCAGGTCTATACGAATTTAAAATATACGGTTCCTGTTTTCGATTAGTTCTTACTAACTTCACTATTGTCTTGGAAACCTTAGAACTATAGTAGCTTAGTCAAATTTGACTTTGCACTAATTTTTGTATGGACTGTCTACGTACTTGTTGCCTAATAGGACCTAATTAATATTTGGATTACCTATGCAATGGCGCATACAGCTCTGCAGAATTCAAATAATCCTTATGCAAGCGGAAGACTCGTAAGACGAAGCTCACAAGACCTCGGTTTGCGTAAGTGTTTAATTAATAACTCCATGTTCATTGATATTTTGTTTAATGTACGATATTTCAATACAAAAAAGTTTTTTCGACTAAACATGAAGTTGTAACTCACAACTAAACATGAAGGGGAAATTTTATTTCGTCTAGTTTAAGCAATGCTGTAGTACTACTAGCTACATGTGAATCCTGAAGCCAAGTACAATAATTCGTACTAAGTTGAATTCAATTGGATCTTAATTCCTTTCATCACCCCACATCAACTTGTATGTTACACAAGTCTACAAAATGTCTGTGTGACTACAGCACTTTCAAAAATCTTATTCTACATGGAGAATACGCCAAAGCTTGATGTCATTTCGTTCAGTTTGCTAGATTGTGGTTTGTTGTCAGTTGCTGGCCATTTGTGTATGTGATCTTCCAACAAATAATGAATACCAGCTGACGTAAATCTGCCCAGATATGTTTAATACGTTTAAGTTGAGGTTGAATTTTTGTCATTCGTTTCGTTTAGTAGACTGTTTACATACTCTTGACCGACGTACGGCGCTTTTTTCGCAATGAACGTTGGTACATAGATTCCAACAAGTGATATTTTCATTTGTGTTCTTGTTACTGCCTTAGCGTAAGGTATATCCCTATTTTTAATCATCCATCAAAAGTATGATAGTAATTCACTATGACGAAACGTCATTAGTACTTGTCTCATTGCATTAATCTAGTCAAACCTTGTAAATCAAATTGAGTTGTAAGTAGTTTGTACAGTAGCTAATAATCATAATTAATTTTGCAAAATCAGTTTATTGGGATTGTTAGTAATAACTTTCGATTCCTGGTTTCTTATTATGTACAGAGATTGAGGTTTATGAAGGTTATTACGAATTCCTCCGACGTTATACACTTGGTGAACGTTTTGGATCGGGTGGATTTGGTCATGTTCATCATGCTAGGCGTACATCTGACAATAAAGAAGTTGTAGTGAAAGAAGTCCGATCAGATAAAGTTCCATGTTGGTGTTTGGTAAGTAAATATGTTTAATAAAGTATATGGATCCTGCTTCACCATATTTATTTATCAACATGGTCGAAGTGTCTTGCTACATTTTTCGTTTTCCTTAACCACCTGTTTTTAATTTGCTTGATTTAGTAGTAATTTCGTTTTAATCCTTTTGTATTATTATTCACACCGATCCATCCTTATTTTGATGTGCGACATATTGGTGTATCATTTATAATGACGATAGATCCACATTTATGGTTGATATATATGTAGTCAACCGCCAATGTGGTCATGATAATTATGTAAAATTTGTGAAAAAACTGCAGTACTTATTGAGATTTATTCACTGCCTCTCATACAAATAGTATAGCTCAAAGTCAGGTATATAAAACTGGACTTGATTCATCATTTATTGGTAAACTTTTACTTTACGTATTCCACCTGATTCGTGTATTTGGCTTGTACGCTTATTTCCGCATTGGGAATAATGCTATCCTTCTGCCTAAAATTAAGCTTCAGCAACGTACAAACGGTTTCTCCTGGTTAAGATTTGTTTATTTTCTGAACTATGTTGCAGCCAACTTGTAATTCGAAGTATACTACTCACTAAATATCTCCATGAGTTGTTTGATTTTCACTCCACAATCGTAATATCTCTTCGCTTATTTTCAATTTCTAGGTTGTTCGATTGCTTTTTGTGAAGCCAGCTTTTGTTAGAATATCTAGTTGGTTTGGACCTGCTGTTTTTTGATACAATTCACTCATTAAATTAACATACATTTACCTGTCATGAATTAAGATTGAATGTGCTAGTCCCAGATTGTTATTCCATCGTGATAGGCATACCCCAATTCATTTACATTTGACAGTTCAGTCAGAGTCGTGGGGATTTTGTAGTATGTAACATGATAACTAATGCCATCATATAATATTCTTATACATTTTGTAGGTTATCAGTATTTTGTTTAGGATATCAATGTAAGTGAAATTCAGCCCTTAAGAGTTCTAAATTTTCTCCAACGGGTTATAGATAAAAGCATTTGACTTTGTTCTTCTGAGTACATAAATTCAAGTTCTCAGTCCCGCCAGGGAGAAAATCACCTATGTTTTTAAATAAATCATATTCTGCTATTTGTGGAAATTATTTTGAGAAACCATTTATGTTTTTGTGGTCAAATTTTCATTTAAGTGATCATGTAAGAAGTAATGCAAGAACACTAAATGAAGTTGAACAGTAATCGATCGGTGTTAAGGCACAATGAAAATTGTAGTCTTGAAATAGACACGTGAAGTGGTGGCAGATGTGGAATCCAAATTCACAGAGAGCTTCGACTGTTTAGTCATAAGATCCGAGACCATTCCATTCACTTCTGTTTGAAAGGACATGTATTATCACTGTTATTTACACTGTAACTTAGAACCGTGTAAACGTGAATGTGCTATTGAAATATGGAGTATCCAAATCGCAATATATTCGACAAGTTTGCTCCTGGGACCCAATAACTGAACGTCCAGTACATCAACTAGAAAGCCAGCATTTTACAAACAGTTTAAGCACTTAACACAGTATACTCCGGTCACTTTAGTCCATATAAGTTCACAGTTTGACTTACAACCTTTCGTAATCTTGTGTTAGAACTTGATTTTAACTGTCTAAGAAAATGCGCTAGGGGCGTGTAATCGTTACTAATGTATGGGATTCTACTCGGATTGTCAGTTTACACCTCATTTTAGCACCCTATTTCAAAAGATTTTACATGAAACTGGTTTTTATTAGAATTTCGTCATATTTTAGTAAACGCAATTAAATAAACAGTAGTAATTTTCAAACTTACGTAACTAGCTACCATTAGCTAATTACACTGTTACCTTTTTTAACCTCTAATGATTAGTGGTAAACCACTCGATTCATTTTACTTGACCTATTTTAGACAGTCGAATTCATTGACTAGTCTGGTATATTGATGATCATATTTCAAAAGTGATTGTAGCTAGTAAGGTTTTTGTTCCCTATCCTATGACCTCACTAATGTACTTTATCATTTTTGAGACTTGTTAACATAGGAGTTGAATTATTTTATACATGATATCTAGCAATTTTTATTAAAATATTTCGACTCGTTGATCTTTAAGATTTTTCATATTTTCTAATTTTTATCTAGTATATAATTTGCTTTATTATTTATCTATTTTGCAAGTACCTTAGGTGGTACTAAAACTACAAAAATACTATTTTATCCCTGTTCCCTTAATTCTCAATGAATAATTTACTAATGTTCTGTATAAGCTTTGTCTGATTCGAAGTAGTATGACTAAAATTCAGACTGCTCAGAGTCGTAGTTGTAGTATTGTTTTGTCTCAATCTCTGAATATTCAAATTCTTTGTTGTCTTATCTGTATACACATAAATATGTAGTGTTAACTACTTGGTTAGTTGGTAAATTTTTGCTGCTCTCCCACCATAATCAGTCATTAACTATCACTGACAGTTCACCGTTATGTTTGTTCATGTATGTGAATTGCTCGTGTCCATGTGCTAGGTCACAAGACCATTTGTCTGATAATTAAGTTGTATGTATCTCAATTATGGCTATAGTCAAAAATTCAGTTATTCTGCTATTACTATAATTCATTTTTTAAAATTATCTTGTTAATTTACTTATTTTCTTTTTGTCATAATATTTGTTTAGTTGGACAATCAATTAATGCCAATTGAAGTTGTACTTCTAGTTATGTGTCAAGGTTTACCTGGAATAGTTAATTTATTAGATGCCTTTAATTTTGGTCAATCTTGGGCAATTGTTATGGATCAAGTCTCTAGTACAACGTGTGATATGTTTGATTATATTGGTGAACGTGGAATGTTATCAGAAAGTGAAGCTGCTTTTTATTTTCACCAATTAACTGGTATATTATTATCATGTCATAAAGTTGGTGTATTGCATCGAGATATTAAAGATGAAAATATTCTGATTAATCGTACAACAAATGAATTGGTACTTATTGATTTCGGTTCTGGTGCATTCTTGGAATCACGTTTGTATACAGATTTTGATGGTAAGTTTAAATGGGAGTAAAAACAAAAAAATCTGTCCTTAAGTTAACTTTATTTGTTGGGAGAGGGAATCTTGCTTTTTTTTAATAGATGAAAAGTCCAATGTCCTGTAACTAGAAAACCTATATGTACCACGTTTTTTTATAGTTAGTGTTTGAATTCTTGTTGACGATGATGTTTTTTGGAGAAACATCAAGGATGCAGCACTAGTTAATCTAACAAATCACGTTATTTTAATGATCTTTTTTGATCACATTTACTTAATTGATTTTTATAGTGACTTATAGTCAATCAACTTGATGTAGAACTTATGAACTAGTTATAGTCAGTCAGATTTCTGATTCCTGATAACTTTCTTTAGGCATGGAAATTTACTTCACTTTCAAGTGAATATGAGTATGGTGAGAAAGAATATTTTACTGTTACTTATTGCCTTTAACGTGTGCTATGAATTACAACTGATTGGAAAAAGAAAGAACTATGGTTAATCAGATTAAAATACAATACTAGTTTATAAAGTTATTAATTGTTAGTCTGAGTTGTTTAGGTAGTTATAGACTAGATCACATGTTTTAAGCAAGTCTCGATGGCGAAAATACTTTTATTTCTAAGTTGTGAATACATTATTGTTTTCATTGTACAGTTTCCTCTCTTTTCATTTTTATTTATATTTTGGTTTGATACTACTGTTACTTTCAACGTTTTCACTATTTGGCTTTTGTCTTGGTAATTTCATTTTGATGTGTTGATATGATGTACAGCAACTTATACTGATACATATTTATCCAAGATCATTTTATTTGGCTATTTCTCTGTTTCATGTCCAACTTTATTTTCTAAGCATGAAAGTAATGGATTAGTTGTCTAAATGTTTGCTTTTTCTACAATTAAATCTCAAGTTAGGAATCCCTTTAATCTATTTCGGGATGCAGAGCCTGATAGTACTAATTGATACTCACTGCAAATGTGATTATAAGCTACATGTACATACTTGTTAAACAAGTAGTCATCTATAATTGTGGAAATGTAAACATTAAAGTAGTTGTTATAAGCATAGATGGATGGTGAGTAGCAGTGAAATCCAGGACACGCATTTCATCCTGTTTGAGACTGATCCTTGGCAGTCCTAAATGTCTATGGCAAGATTCAAACAACCAATTCAAAATGAATTAAATTTCACCTTATAAGAGATTGACAAATAAGTCCCAAACGTCAATGGGAAGATTAAAACGATACAATATGAGTTAAAGTAGAAAATTTAAATTTATACGTTATATGAATACTGTTTCCTATGTATTCAATATTCTCATCTTTCGTTACATTCCATGTTTTTCATATTAGGCACCCGTGTTTATAGTCCGCCTGAGTGGATTTTAAATAATCGATATCATGGCAAACAGGCTGAAGTATGGTCTTTAGGTGTACTACTCTATGATATGTTATGTGGTGATATCCCTTTTGTTAATGATAAAAGTATTATCGGAGGGAAATTGCGATATCGTAGAGACAATATAAGTGAAGCAGCAAAACATCTTATTGCGTAAGTCAAATTTTAATTTTTCTACCCGAATCATTTCAATGCCTAATCTTTCCTATTACCACTGATGCTGTTACTACCTTTACTATTCTTACATTTGTTCTGACAATTTCATCAATCTATCAATCAATGGGATAGGACAACTTGGATTCATGTATATATATACCAGGTTCTACGTTGTGACTGACTGATTAGTTTTTTTCAAATACATTTCTCAGAAATGGTAGAAATTTAATTAGAATCTTTTGACTAGTTATCCAAAAAGTTGACTTGACTAATCCAAATATTTGATTAGAAGTTTTACAAAAATTACCAGCTATGACATTTACATGGGAGATTTATGCGTGACTAGCGTATATATTTGTAGTTGTTATTTGTAATAGTCAATATTATGTAGTCTAAATCTATCATAAATTTCATAAGTAATCATAAAAAAATCTTAAATAATCGTCGCTAATCAAGAAAGTACAGATAAATGGATCTTAACGATTGGGAGGCGGTAATCAGTCGATTATATCTACTGAAAATAATTTACATCATTTTTGAAGCAACATTTAATAATAACCATTTCTGTTTCAAGAAAGTGGTAAAAATTACATACTAGATAAAGTGTATCAAATCAAATAGGAGGGTTAGTCATGGAGATAAGAGAGGTATTAGGAGGAAGGATTTAAATGTGACCAACTTGGTCTCATGTGCTGTTACGGGTCTCCTTATTCCTCCTTGTCTCTTTTTTCTCTTCCCAAATTTATTTCGCTGTATTATACTCTTTAAATAACATCTCCAAACACTAATTTTCCTGATTACTGCTTATACTCTTATTACCTCTACCGCTACGGGATTCGAATCGACCACTTCATCTCTGTGCTAATGTGGTGTGGCAACTCGAACTGATGTACGTACGTACGAGTTCTACGTTGTTACTGACTGACTGACTGATCAAATCAAATTTCTCAGATTCAGTTTAAATACCTAACTTCTGTGCGTTGTATTCGCGTTTACATTTCCACTGACATATGCTAGTAACAAATGTACCTTAAACTTTTCAATTTATCCTCCTAAATATAGTAGCATGATTCCAAATGTTATCTAATGTTATAATTAGATTGATGTGCTATGTAACACCATAAACACATCATTGCTTTTTGAATGGTGTTAATGAACTTTAAATTACATTTTACGAAGTTTATTTATACAGTCCAACCTTATGCACGTAGGCTGGATAATTTTTTGTAAGACCAATCACCATACTATTTTAAAAATTTCGGCATAATCTATACTTTCCAAGCTTTCTTAAACTATCCCCTATTAGTGTCTTTTTTAGTGTTGTGACGTAATGGATGACAGATTACTTGGCTTACTCACTATATGGATATAGTTTTGTTACAATTCAGTGTTTACTATTACAACAAATTCATTATGACAATTATGTTTCTAAAAAATCTTAATGTTACTTTTATTTTCTTCATTGATACTTATTATTCATTTATTATAAATGGATTCGATTATTATGTATGTATATATACTTATTAAAAAATTTTAGGAGTTGTTTAAATATGGATCCTTCTAAACGTCCATCTTTGTTGGAAATCCTTCAACATCCATGGATGCAAGCCCATCGACCTCAAACTGGTGCTAAAATTCCACTAGCTTCTCAAATAGCCTTGGATGCCTTGGAGAAGGGATCAAACTCGGACGCTACTCTAAATATTTCAAATTTATCTGATTTACATTCTGTAGAAGTGCAAAGTTCAAGTCTATCAAATCAAATGATATCTGGTTTTCCACATTCTTGTTCCTTTACAAATCCTTCCGTAGGTATTGATGACAAGCATAAAAATAAACAAACTAATAGTATTGACCACTCACAAACAATTTTAGATTCAAATTCTTGTTCTTCCGGTATGGATAATCGCTCAAGCCTTCATTTTCATATCCCTTCAGGTACCACTGAATTAGTAGGATCAAGTATTGGTTATGCTTTCCATGACTTTCTTAGAGATGAGGTTTCGATTGGTGAATTTTCTCAATCTCCTGTGTCTAGTATATCTCCTCAACTTGAAACAGCATGGTCTATTCCAAATAGAAAAATTGACGAACGAGTGGATTTAAATATTCAGACATTTCCTCCAGATAGTAGATTATCATGTCAACAAACATCATGCCCTGAAATTATACCGCGTCTTCATTCCAATGAGTCTGATTCTAGCTCTGGCTATTATTCACGCTCTGATTCTTTGTCATCGAACGACGGGAAACAGCTCATTTCAGCTGTAAATGTTAGTAACTTACGCACTTGTTCAACTGCAAGTCATATGGCATCCGTTATGTCAGTTACTAAACCTGTCACAACAGCTGTCAATGATAAATCTCCTTGTTCAACTGCAGTATCCTCTTCATATTCCCGACTTCAAAATATAGATCTTCCTGTTCATTTACATTATTGGCGTTCAGGTAGTTCCAGTAAAACATCTTCTGATTCATCGTCATCTTACTCATCTACGAAATCTAATTGTCTTGATAAACAGCTCCGGCAAATTAGTGAAAATACACCAACCATTCCTTACTCATCTTCATATCTTAATCCTTCTTGGTCCGTAATTTTAAATTCATCTAAACCTACATCCCAAATGTATTCACCTAATACAACTCATTCCAGTGTACCGTGTTCAGGTGTGACTGCATATTCCTCAACTACAAATGCTATAACAAGTTCAAATACAGATATGGTAGACACATTGAGTAGTCTGTTATCATCTTCAACTTCAAAATTAAATTCTTCTCTATCAACTCACGATTGGTTTCTAAGTGGTAATAATGTTGACATGGATCACGTATGACTGTAAACATTTTGTTTTTAATGTACACAATCATTATAGAAAAAAAAGTAAGAGAAATAGTTAAAAGTCAATACATCTTAATCTGTAATGTACTCTTTCAGTAGGAAATAATCAATACATTGATCTGATTATTTTATATTCACAGTACATCATAGATTTAAATGTTCCACGCTTTAATTATTGTTCTCGTTTTGTTTTTAAATATCATAATTATGTACATTTATGTGTATAATGTACTATGTGGTTGGTAACTTGTTATCTTTGTATCATTAAAATCAAAACAATATTTACAGAGTAATGATTATTATTATTATTATTATGCTAAATTGGAAAAGTGGTATTTGAAATTCTCAATCTTTATTATTATATTATGATTATTATTATCATTATTGTTTTCAATCAATTTCGTGCTGTAGAAAAATTTTCAAAACTGTGTTGTTTTCCTTTTGTTTAATATTATTACTGTTATTATTACCCATTATTATTACTATCATTAATAATTTAATTGTTAAATATTCTTTAAAATGTATTTGTTTGGTTTTTGTTCATGTCTTGAGAATTTTAATTACTTTGACAATTTGTCACATTATGATTATGATTATTATTATTATTATTATTTTTGACAAAAATGGACTAACAACATGTTTCTGATTTTATTTCTGATATTTTTCTCTTGTTCTTCTCATTTACTATGTACTTGTTTGTGTGTGTGTGTGTATGTGTTTAATGGCTTTATGTACTCATGAAAATTGCTCACACTACTTAATGGCCTTTAAAACTTTATATGCATATATATATGCTGTAGTTTCAAATCACTTTCGTTTAAACCCACTCTGCAGTGTACTCTTGATTTCCAGTTACTTGTTTGATATAGTGTGGAGTGTACACCAAAAGTTCTGTACATATTAGATCTGTTTTTTTCTTGTACATACTTTGAGTATTTTGATTTTTCATACACGTAATTAAATAAGGATTGAAATTCAATGCATAATTGTAATGAGATATCAATCAGTTAGTATGGTGAAATGCGCCAAGTAAAAAAAGAGCCAATATGTTGTGACCATAAGTTGCATTGGATATAGTCCACTATTAGATTTCTCACATCAATTATTTCGTTAGCATAATGGATTGAATATGGCATGTATTAGTTAAGTACAACATAAAATATGACAAACTATGGCTAATTTAACTCTGTAGAAAACAGTTTGCTTTAGTCACATTTGACCTACAAAATGGCGAATACTTGAGTGTAATATATAGAGATTTGTACTACGTAATAGTTGGTCTGTCATGTAATAATCGATCTATATTGAGTCACTGTTTTTGTTTCGAAGGCACAAAATATTTATGTCTGCCACGTATGGTTTTCGCCTTTTCAATGATTCACTCCATAAATAAATGAAGTGGACGAATAACACATGAAATAGGTATGGTGATCATCTTTTGTGTACGAGATTTACTAATGTAGTTTTGATAGATAAATTTTCTAAGATATGTCAGTGCTTCATTGGATATATTTCTCAAGGTTTGATATAGAGATAGATTTATTGTGTTCTAAATCTTGATGATAATCTGACTTGGATTATTTATGGGCTTTTAGCCGTCAAACGATTGATAAGCAGAGGTTTAAATAATTTGGCCTTAGAATAATTTATTGATATATGTATTCGTTCCTTTTCTGTAATTTTGTTGCTTGACTCAACCGATTTCTACAGTTTCTTGATCCTCATATTTGTTTAAGATTATCATTAAGTCCATTAATTAACCAATCAATCATCATTTATATGATACAAAGCTCTTAACGTTTATCTGATTACTCGTTTGTATGTTTAAAAATTACTTCTTATGCAACGAAAACTATTGTGAAGAGAATCTATTTTTTCAGTCTTATGAAAGAAAACATGCTTTCGATTTGGCTACTAAACAAATGTCTGACCGCATAAAAAGTTTTTTTTCTTGAATGCAAAATAAACTTTAATATCACAATAATGATTAAGTTCAGTCTACGGAGAAATTTATAGTATGTTTTTAAGAAAGTCTAAAACTATTTTTCTGTATAAATTCACTTGATATTGTTTGTTTGAATCTTCCCATTGAAGTTTTTAGGACTAAAATTGATCAGTCTCTTATTAGCATATGTGCAGACTGTTTATTGCCCCAAGTCAAAAGCATTATAAACAAAGATGGATATTGGCTAGTAGTGAAATCCAGGACTCGCGTTACGTTCCACTTGGAACTCGTCAGCCGGATGTACCTGCATCCCAGAATTGATGTTCACTGTGGGACTCGAACCCAGTACCGTTCACTTCAAACGCCATCGCGTTATCCATTTAGCTACTGAGTTCTTATAGCCATTTTATTGTGCAGATACATCCAGCTGACGAATCCCAAATAGGCGAAACGCACGTCCTGGATTCTATTGCTAGCCACCGTCCATCTTCATTTTATATATAGTTCAGAAGCAACTACATTTCCAATAGATTGTTAAACATCATACAATATTGGTCCCTATTTTCAAAATACATCTTAATAGATTTAAAAACAACAGGATGCATAGTTGTATTTAAGAAAAAGACTTAACAGAATGGTAAATAAAATCTGTAGAGCTAATTACCGATGATCGCAACTTATCGCGGAAAAAGAATTGTAAATTAACTGCAGGGAATTCCTCGGAATGTCTTCGGGATTTTAAGCAAGTTGAAGATTATCTTCAGTATACAGTTTGATCAATCCCAAAAAAATATGTAACCTATAAGTGTATAGGTCAAGTTTACACTTGGAAATGGATTTTACCATTCACATTTTCTTCCCTGGGCTGATATCATTGATTAGCGTAGAGAATAAAACCGATTAGTAAGGAATAATCGTTCAAGGAATGGATTCTCACGTAAAATTATAATCTACATAATTCATCCTAAAAATTAATTTTTATGAACTGGCTGTTAAGCTATTTTTTTTTAAATTGTCGAATTACAAAAATTGAGGGAAAGCTGAGTGAGCTAGTCTGTGTCCAAACTGAAATGATGATTGGGTTATGTTTTTTTAATCTAGGAAGAGATTCACTATTGAAAGAAAAGTTAGATTAAAGAGTGTGTCATTTGTGCATGTATGAGTGAGAGGCAGCAAAACATAATTATGTGTACACTTCGCTCTCTACTCCAGATAAGATTAAGTTAGTACCATTATATAACCAACTCTTATTTTATTTATGTTTACCTAAGCAACAAATCTGAATTCGTTATCCTGTCGGGATTTCTTAAAAGGGGAAATATTCAAAATGAACATTATTCACAAATAAATAAACAGTTCACATGAGATAAATGTCTAATTTTGTTTTATTTTTAAATATTAACCTAAAAACTAATAAATATATTTATATTTACTCTAATTGTCAATAATATGACCTTGAATCTGAAGATAAGTCAAAAATATTGTCACATGTGGGTCAATACACAAATATATGTTTACGAAACACTAATCATCACATGTGTACATATAAACATCTTAGAAAGCACATATTGAATATTAATATAGTATAATGAGATAAGTTGTTAATTTTGCATATTATTATCATTAGTATCAGCATTCCAACATGAGTTTTGGCTCATCTCCAAGTCAAATCCAACCCAGCTTATGACTCATCTGGCATTGTATCATATATACTATTCTCAAAGAGCATATATATATATGTAAAAATACCGATGTATATATTAGTCATATCGGATGGTTAGAAACAATCTGTAGTTATCTGTATAATGAAATGTAGGGCCTCATGTCGATGAATTTACATGAAAGTATGTTTAGACTTAACAATCTATGAAACATGACAAAAATAATGGTCAAACTCTTAAAATGATTCTTTATTGAGAATTAATTTTCCGATTAACTTCACATATTGTTCAAGAATACAGTTTTACAGTTGTTTATTTATAAACTATTAGATACTTGTTTAATTTAATCTGTTCAATATATGATCAGCTTATCCATTTTTAGGAACCATTGAAATTGAGCAGTAAAATATTATTACAACTCGATAGATTATTTAATCAACAAATATTTGGATGAATCTAATTACTGAATTTATCGATAGAAGTAATCATAGCCACTAAGGTAGGAAATATCCTCAATATTTTTTTACATCTCATTAACATATGTTAGGGAGTGGCATCCCGTCATCCTCACAGGTTTTTTCGCTCGCGCCAGATTTCTTGCTGTCAGTGGGTCGGATGAGTTGGAAGAGCTTCCGGTAGTTAACAGATGCAGCTGCTGCTTCCAGCTCATTAGCACGCTCCGACCACCAGGCTTCTCAGTCCTTACGCAAGCTTTGCCCAACTTCATTACGTAACAGCCTTCGTTTGTGGCCAAACTCACGATCACCCGGAGTAGACCGACGGGCTTCGATGAGTTGTAAGGAGCCTGCTTATAAGCGGGCTGTTTCGCGAAGCCGCAAGCGGTCTTACTCGCCATTTTTATGGCTTCACGAAGTTGCAACCAATGCTCATCTATACTTTTCGGTGGAATGGTAGCTAGCCTAGAAGCTAGCTTGGGTCGATACTTAGTTGCAATAGAAGTTGCAACCAACTTACTGGCATTAATCCTTTAGTGACGGTCACTTCGTTAGCCACTGAAAAGTAAGGTAAGATTGGCGCAGGCCAAAGCATGGTCAGAGTCCAGATAGGTACTCCAAAAGGAGCGACAGTCTTGTACACAACCACGACAGCGGTAGCTTTTCGCGATGTGATCAATCTGAGTCCAGGCTTGAGATGCAGAGGGAGGACGTCAGGTGGCACATCGGCGATGACTGTGCGGGAAGTTAGTGCTAGCCAGAAACAGGTTGTGGTCTGTGCACAGTTGCAATAGACGGTCCCCGTTATTTGTCCTGCGACTAACAAGTCCCTATCGGCCACCTAAACGACTCTCTTCTGTGCCTAGACGCCCGACCTGAGCATTCAAGTCTCCGGCTAGTACTACAATATCTGTCGAACGCACTTTGTGGAGAAGAACAGATAACTGGTGGTAGAATTCATCCTTGATTGCATCCGGGCTGCAATCTGTCAGGGCGTAGGCGGAGATGACGAAAAGACATCGTTTCTCACGCCGATCTCTTCTCACTTTGATGGAACTCTCTAATCTAACAGCATATAACTGACTGTTAATGAAGTCCAATCGATTAGTACTGCCTCAGCTCTAGCGCTTAGTGCGACACCAACGCCAGCAAGACTAGACGAAGATGCCACAGGGTCCCCGGATAAGCGCACGTACAACAAGCTTTTCGAAGCGACAGATGGAGATCGAATTTGTAGTACTTCACCAGAGTCTTGAATACGGGTCTCGGATAGACAGCGGACATCGATATGAAGACTTTCCAAAGACATAGCCAGCCCTATCTGTTGTCCGACCTGCATAAATGTGCGAACGTTCAAGGCAGCCAGTTTGAATGGTGCACGTGGTTTCAGAAAAACTGCTTCAGTCCTCGTATTCGGTGGTAACGTACAATTTTCAACCGGACAGTGACTCGAGAACGTTTACATACAGTTGAATTTCCACCATAGGTGAGCTGCTGTATAAGTCGAAAAATAAGGATAGACAGAGTGGAAATAAAAGAGAGTGAATAAGTGACATAATAAATAATAATAATAATAATAATAATAATAATAATAATAATGTGAATCGTTTGAATGTTAATCGAAGCAAGTATAGTATTTTCCGTAAGTATCGTCATTTCATTCAGTTTGTGTGTGGGTTGTGATAGTGCCCGGGTGCCCAGACTGAAGCAGGTGGTTTTTCTAGGGAGCCACGTCCCGAGCCTTTGACCTAAAGGTCTCACTCACAGGGAAGTGGAGCATCGTGAGAAGATTCAGTCCCACAGTAGCTGGTGACCAACAATTGGTTCATACTGGAGCCCATGTGTACCATTGGTTTGGAATCCGGTTAAAGCGCCTGACATTCGCTTTTCGTCCTCTCATTTTCGTAAACAACACC